ATTACAGGCGTGAGCCACAGCACCGACCAGTGTGTATGTCTTTTAGATATAAAAACTGCATGTATCCACATCATGGAAATGCCAGTATATGTTTGTCCTGCGTCTGTTAAAGAGCATTTGGGGTTATATTCAGGTTTTTATTTTGTTTCTATTAATTCTGACATTTTTACCTTAGAAGGCTTAATTTCAAAAAGTGGGGCCACTGAGGCAAAGAGCACACATATTTTCAATGTTAATAGCTTCTTCCTCATTTCCTACAAGGCTTCATCTCTTCCCAGCATCCGAGCAGGTCTTGGGAATGCCTGCTTTTGCTCATCCTTATCAGTACTGCATGTTATCAATCTCTCAAATTTTTGACAATCTAATGAGTTAAACCAGGTATCTCACAGTTGCTTGGTTTGCCTTTCCCTGAGTACCAGTGCAGGAGAATGTGGGTCCACGGGTGTTGGTAACTTGCATTTTCCTTTCTTTTTTCCTTAGAGATGGGATCTTGCTTTGTCATCCAGGTTGGAGTGCAGTGGCACAATCATAGCTCTCTGCTGCCTCAAATTCCTGTGCTCAAGGGATCCTCTACCTCAGGCTCTTGAGTAGCTGGAATTTATAGGTGCACACCATTGCATCCAACTCAGTTCTTTTATTTTTTTAGAGATGGGGCATCTTGCTATGTTGCCCAGGCTGGTCTCAAACTCCTGAGCTTGAGTGATCCTCCCACCCTGGCCTCGACCAACAAGAATGAGCTTGAAATGTACAGCCCTATGTAAGGTCTTCCTAGACAAGCCTATAGCTCTGTCACATTTGTGAAGGAAAATGTCTCAATTTTCATTTCCTTTTTTTTTTTTAGGGGGATTTTTTTTTTTTTTTTTTTTTTTTAGATTGATTCCTGCTCTGTCACCCAGGCTGGAGTGCAGTGACACAATCTCAGCTCACTGCAACCTCTGCTTCCCGGGTTCAAGCGATTGCCTCAGCTTCCTGAGTAGCTGGGATAATAGGCACCGCCACCACGCCTGGCGAATGTTTGTATTTTTAGTAGAGACGGGATTTCACCACGTTGGCCAGGATGGTCTTGATCTCTTGACCTCGTGATCTGCCTGCCTAGGCTTCCCAAAGTGCTGGGATTAGAGACCTGAGCCATTGCGCCCAGCTGCAAGTAATCCTGATATACTGTCTTAGTCTGCTTGGGCTGCCATCATAAAATACCGAAGACTGGATGGTTTAAACAACAGAGATAAATTTTCTCAGAGTTCTGGAGGCTGGGAAGTTCAAGAGCAGGGTGCCAGGCAGTGCAGCTCCTGGTGAGGGCTCCCTGCTGGCTTGCAGACAGCTGCCTTCTTGATGTGTCCTCCTGTGGTGGTCGGGGAGAAAGTGATCTGTGGAGTCTCTGTTGTCACCGTCCTGGTTGTCTTCCTCCTCCTCCTTCCACTTCTCCTCCCCACTTCTTCTTCACCCTCCCTCTTCATTTTCTACCGCTTCAATATATGAATTTAGGGAGAAGAGAGAAAGGATGGATGACTGCATCAAATCACCTAACCTTTAGGGTTGAACCAAAAGACCCCAAACCCAAATTCTTTTTTCTTCTTTGCTCCTTCTCCTGCTCCTTGTCCTTTTCCTTCTTCCTTGCCAGAGGCTTGCTTTATCACCCAGGCTGGGGTGCAATGGTGCAATCACAGTTCACTGCAGCCTCAAACTCCTGAGCTGAAGCGATCCTTCTGCCTCAGCCTCCTGAATAGCTAGGACTACAGGCATGTACCACCATATCAGGCTAATTTTTTAAATATTTTTGTAGAGATAGGGTTTCACTGTGTTGCTCAGGCTGGTCTTGAACTCCTGGCTTCAAGCACTGCTCCCACCTTGGCCTCCGAAAGCACTGGGATTACAGGCGAGAGTGCCGCCCCTGCCAGATGTTTCTTCCCATGAGGGCACTAATCTCCCGTAGCTGAGCCCCACCCTTGTGGCCACTTACAGGGCCCTAATGCCTCCCAAAGGCCCCATCTCCAGGTGGCATCATGCTGGGAGTTGGGGCTACAACACAAGAATTTAGGAGACACAGACTGGTTCAGTCTGGAACATGTAGTTAGCTTAAAACCAGCTACCTTACCAAATTCTTTTTTTTTTTTTTTTTTTTTTTTTGAGACAGAATCTCCCTCTATTCCCCAGGCTGGAGTGCAGTGGCGCAATCTCAGCTCAATGCAACCTCTGCCTCCTGGGTTCAAGTGATTCTCCTGCCTCAGCCTCCTGAGTAGCTGGGATTACAGATGCCTGCCACCATGCCCAATTAGTTTTTGTATTTTTAGTAGAGATGAGGTTTCACCATGTTGGCCAGACCTGTCTCAAACTCCTTATCTCAGGTGATCCACCTGCCTTGGTCTTCCAAAGTGCGGTAATTACAGCCACTGTGCCGGTCCATCCCAATTCTTTAATTAGTCCTGATAGTTTTTTGGTTGAATTTCTTGGGATTTCAGATTACACAACCATGTCACCTGAACATACAAATAACTGCCTCCTTTCTCCCAGTCTTTTGTTTTCTGTGTTACTTCTTTAACCAGGAGCTATGAAACCCTTCTGAAGAACAGAGGTGGTAGCAGGCATCTGCATCTCATCTAGATCCCAATGAGTTTAACATTTTAACATGTGAACAGTCTTTATCTGTGTTTGATACATTGCCTTTCAGTTCCTTCTACTGGTTTTACCTAGAGTTTTTAAAATTAGGAATAGTGCTTGAATGTATCCAATGTTTTGGGGGCCACATGAGTATCCACGCCTGCCCGCTCGACTGTTCTTTTGGTAACATATGGATGAGGTCACCCTGGCTGAACAATTTCCTCATGTGGAAACTTGCTGGTCAGGGTGGATCTATGCTCTAGTACAATGCTGGATTTTATTTGCTAATATTTTATCAAACATGTAATGTATATTGTTCAGAAACCCCAACTCAAAGTGACTTAAATGGGAAGGAGATCTGTTATCTCACCAAGTGAGGAGGAAGAGGAGCAGGTCCGGGTGGGAGTGGGGCATGAAGGGGAGTGCTGCCAGGTGCTTTCCTCTCTGCCGCCCTCAGGGTCTCTGTGGCCTCCCCCACCGTCAGAGGATGGCTGCATGGTTCTAGGTGTCACACCCAGCCCCAAGAGTGCCCAGGGAGGAAGACACGGCCTCCCCTCAGTGGACCCTCCGAGGGCCAAGAAACCTCTCCTGGGAGCCCCTTGAAGACTCCCTGCCTGCCCCACCTGCCACCTGCTCATGGGTGCAGATTAGTCACTGCCAGGGAAGCAGGACTGACAGGACCGCAGGGGCTCCCTGCATCCTGCTCACCTGGGGACAGAACGGCGATGGTGCAGGTGCGCCCAGCCACTGCAGGACATTCAGCAGACCCGGGCTCTGACACCCTCTGCTCAGGCACCCTGGTCTACACCTTCTGGGGCCAGGATTAGCCAGCCTCCCCTGGAGCATGTGGCTTCACCGAGGAGGCCACCACATAAGCCAAATAGGACTGTGTAAGGACAGAGAAGTGAGGTGGATGGGCTGGGCCACCAGCATGGTCCGCAGCATCTGTTCATCGATAAAATCGGGCCGGGCATGTGGCTCATGCCTGTAGTTCCAGCACTTTGGGAGGCCGAGGTGGGCAGATCACCTGAGGTCAGGAGTTTGAGACCAGCCTGGTCAACATGGTGAAACCCCATGTCTATGAAAAATACAAAAATGAGCTGGGTGTGGTGGCAGGTGCTTGTTCATCCCAGCCACTTGGGAGGCTGAGGCAAAAGAATCGCTTGAACCTGGGAGACAGAGGTTGCAGTGAGCCAAGATCATGCCACTGCACTCCAACCTGGGCAATAAGAGTGAAACTGTCTCAAAAAGAAAGAAAGAAAGAAGAAAGAAAAAGAAAAGAAAGAAAAAAGAAAGACAAGACAAGACAAAGACAAGACACGGGAAAATGTCCATCCTTTTGCAAGCTGGAATAGCGCTTCAAGCCCAGGTAGGCCCTGCAACACTTCACTCTACTGTTATGGGTCTTCTCATGCTTTCTCCCTTTTCTTAGGTCAACTTTGATCATTTATGTTTTGGTACAAAATCATCCATCATTTCCTTTAGATCAAGCTGATTTTCTCTTACAGTCTGTAAGGTCGCTCCTGCAGCTGAGCTATTCCCAGTCAGGTGCACTGGTGTCTTCAATCTGCAGCCAGCCACTATTGGTGGCCAACCCCGCCTGTTCTCCTTCTCTTCCTGATCAACAAAACCTTGACTGCTATGGGACAGCAATGTCCCCAGCTGCAGTGGCACTCCCATGGCTTCCCTGCAGCCACGTGTGGCTGTGTGCTCACATTCTGGGGGATTTCTGGGACATGTTGCTTCTCTGTTTGATTTTGCTCTTCTTTCCTCTCTGAAACAGAAAGGCGCTCACAGGAGAAGCGGCCTCACCTTCACCAGGAGGCTGAAGGCACACGCTGGGGGACACACATGGCAGGAGCCTGGTGTGGCCCCCGTGGCTGCACCCAGCCTCTAGGGAAAAACAGAAACAACTTGTTGCATCAGAGGCAAACCCTAGCCGATACGGCCTCTCTGTTCCATCCCAGGAATTTATCAAATTGTTTTTCCCAAACCAGCAGCTTTTTTGCTTTATGAGTGATGTGGGAAGTAGAAAAGCTCCTTTTTAAAGTTTCCTTTCTTGGTAAATCTTAAGTGTGCTAATAACTTTGTTAAGCCCTCTCCTATGTAGCTGTTAGACATGCCACACTTACAGGCACACAGTACACTCTACGTCCTTGTACTTTAATCAGGGTATCTGTGCTGGACGTGCTCACAGGCATGTCCCAGTTCACCATTGCTTTCACCTGTTTAGAAAAGTTTAAAGTTGTTAGCCAATCGGGTTTTAATTTAGATTGTGAGGTCTGGCTCCAGCCAACGGAGATCAGACACAGCAGTAAGGACCACCCCAAAGGCGTTAGGGATAAATTTGTGTTTTCTGTTTGTTCATTGTACTCTTGTGGCACAATGGCTAGTGAGGGTACCCCTCCTGCAGTCCAGGAGGTAAAAACTGCGTTACTGAAAGACCCTTGGTCTCAGTGCTAATTTTTCTTTGTGGCACCGAGCATCTATTTGCAACATCTATTCCCAACAAGTGATAACAATTTTTAATCTTTAGTCATTTCCTCTTCCTACTTTCTTCTGATTTGGTTAATTTTTGTGTGTACATATGCAGTAAAATCACTTAAGGTGACGGCATTTCCTTTGGCTATTGTCTATCTATTTATTTACTTTCTAGTTACATTTTAGATCATGTGCAATTTTTATTTATTTTTATTTTTTTTTTGAGACGGAGTTTCACTCTTGTTACCCAGGCTGGAGTGCAATGGCCCAATCTCAGCTCACCGCAACCTCCGCCTCCTGGGTTCAGGCAATTCTCCTGCCTCAGCCTCCTGAGTAGCTGGGATTACAGGCATACGCCACCATGCCCAGCTAATTTTTTGTATTTTTAGTAGAGACGGGGTGTCACCATGTTGACCAGGATGGTCTCGATCTCTTGACCTCATGATCCACCCGCCTCGGCCTCCCAAAGTGCTGGGATTACAGGCGTGAGCCACCGCGCCCGGCCGCAATTTTTGTTTTTTGAGACAAGGTCTCACTCATGTCCCAGGCTGGGGCGCAGTGACATGATCATAGCTAACTGCAGCCTCCAGTCCTGGCCTCAGACAACCCTCCTGCCTTGGTTTCCCAAAGTGGGGATTACAGATATGGGGCAAAGGGCGTGGGGCTCCGTGCCCTCCCTGGGTGTGCCACCCTCCAGGAACATCCACACGTTCAGCTCTCTGGAAGCTCCTGCGCCCTGTCCTTTGGGGTTTTGTGGAGGGTTCATTACATAGGCATGTCTGGCAACTGTGTATTAATATAAACAGACAAAAAGTACATGATGCAAACCCAGCAAAGGCCTGTCTGTTCAGACTTTCTTGGCCTCTCTGAGTAGCATTCTTACCTCCAGAGGACGGGCAGAACCTTCTCTGGAATGAGGGTCTTCTGACCCACAGATGGGAGTCCTGCCTTGGACAGGTGAAAGAATGGAAGTTCAGAGAAAGAGATTCTGTTTCCTGAGGCCTAAAGCGCCCCAACATTGCAACAGATGAGTGTAATGAGGGTTATAGGAGTTAGGGGTCAAGAGCCTGCACTCAAACCTGTATCTACATAATCATCATCTCACAATGCTGTTCACTAGTTCAACCCAAGCTTGCTGGCAGCTGACCAAGTCTCCTCTCAGTGTGCTCAGATAACCAGGGAGTCTATCCACTTCATCTTAGAGAACGGGCTTCTGACCCGCAGCCCACCAGCCTGGCTGCTCCCAACTCCTGGGAACTGCCTTCACTGCAGAAATTTCCTCTAGCCCTCTGCTGGGTAGGATGCCTGGTTCCTGTCTCCGGGTCTTATCCGTCCTTGGTTTAATCCAGCAGTGTGCTGGTGCCGGCTGGCACAGCCGTCTCTTCCCACCTCTGTCCGCTAACTTGACTTCGTCAGCATGTAACCGGCCTTGGTGGTGTTAATTACACCAAGGACATCAGTAAATGCTAAAATCAGGGCTCCTCTCCACCTGAGAGCTGCTTTAATCCCTCCTTTTGTTGACATTCATCTTCCAGTGGCTTCCTGAGAGGTTGAATGTGCAAGAAAAATTCTGCCACTATATTCCACAGCTGAAGATATCCTTATTGTACTCCCCAACCTGATTTCAGCTGAGCGTAAAATTCTCATTTAGAATATTTGCTTTCAGGGGCCGGGTGCAGTGGCTCATGCCTGTAATCCCATCATTTTAGGAGGCCGAGGTGGGTGGATTGCTTGAGTTCGGGAGTTCAAGACCAGCCTGGTCAACAGGGTGAAACCCCGTCTCTACTAAAAACACAAAAATTCGCCAGGCTGTGGTGAAGCACACCTGTAATCCCAGCTACTCGGGAGGCTGAGGTATGAGAATTGCTCGAACCCAGGAGGTGGGGATTGCAGTGAGCCAAGATCCCGCCACTGCACTCCAGCATGGGCAACAAGAGCAAGATTCCATCTTAATAAGTAAATAAAATATGGCCAGGCACGGTGGCTCATGTCTGTAATCCCAGCACTTTGGTAGGCCAAGGCGGGCAGATCACGAGGTCAGGAGTTCGAGACCAGCCTAACCAACAGGATAAAACCCTGCCTTTACTAAAAATACAAAAAGAAAAAAAAATTAGTTGGGTGTAGTGGCACGCACCTGTAATCCCAGCTACTCAGGAGGTTGAGACAGGAGAATTGCTTGAACCCAGGAGGTGGAGGTTCACACCATTGCATTCCAGCCTGGGTGACAGAATGAGACTCCATCTCAAAATAAATAAATATATAATAATAATGGAATATTTTCCTTTAGGAAACAGCACCCTGTAGGGAGGGAGCATCTGATGACCCTCAAAGTTTGAGAGCCACTCTTAACCTTCCAATGGCCTGTCTGCTGAATCAAGAAGCCAGCAAAACTGCTGCATAAACAAATATTGAAGAATTGGATGCCATTTCAGTCACACACGCTTGCAGAAGGGCACTGATATGGTAATGCCTCCTGTACACATAGCAGAGTCTGAAGACCGCAAGGAGAGTTTGTGTCTGCTGGTACAAGACCTTGGCAGGCCTGCAAGGAGATGGCTCACATGGAAGTCCCCACGCATGTGCACTCAGCGTGACCTTTCGGAGCATCAGTCCACGCTCAGGCCCACAAGTAAGATGGCAGGAGCCCCTGCCCTTGTGAAAGCTTGGGTCACAGAGCTGCTGGTGAAGGGAGCAGGTGAAGGTCTCATGTGGCCTGTGCAATTCAGGCAGAAATGAGGACAGGTGGGAACCCACCGGGCAGAAGACAAGCTGAAAGGCTCCCAGGGAGCAGACACTTCAGGGCCCCAAAAGGCCAAGAGAAAGAAAAAAAAAAGTCCAGGTGTGGCGGCTCATCCCTATAATCCCAGCACTTTTGGGAGGTTGAGGCATGCAGATTGCTTGAGCCCAGAAGTTTAAGTCCTGCATGGGCAACATGGTGAAACCCTGTCTCTACAAAATATACAGAAATTAGCTCAGTATGGTGGTGCAAGCCCGTAGTCCCAGCTATTTAGGAGGCTGAGGTAGGAGAATCATATGAGCCAGGGAGGTGGAGGCTGCAGTGAGCTGTGATCATACCACTGCACTCCAGCGTGGGCAACAGAGTGAGACCCTGTCTCAAATGGCCAGGAGTGGAGGCCAGGCCCCAGGCCAGGAGGTTTGGCGTGGCTGGCAGGAGCCTCGTCAGAAGGCTGTTGCTGGCAGGGGCATGCTGCAGATGGCTGTTTCGGACCACGGAGCTTAGCCTTCAGGATTTAGAGCTGGGGATGACAGGATCAGGTGTCCTTGTTGCCGGGAGGGACGCACAGGGATGAGAATGAGCCCAGGACTCAACTCCAGCTCAGCTGGGCCCACGGTGGGGCAGTAAATGTGGGCAAGGCCCGGCTTCAGAAGAACTTGATGAACAGAAGCAGTGGTCACCGCCTGTGCCCTGGCTTCCCTGCCCTTCAAATGGTGTGTTCTGAGCTGAGGTGAGGCCCACGTGAAATTCGAGAAGGCTCTGGAGTCACCAGACATCTAGGGAAGCATAGAAGGCCTGGAAGGTCACACACAGCTGGGTGAGCCCACATGGGGCTAGGCAGGCTCAAGGAATCCAGTCCTGGGCTGCAGGCCAGTTCTCCACGCAGGTGGTCCTGGAGGCAAGCTGGTTCTGGAAGTAGGTTCTGGAAATGGGCCAGTCCAGGAAGCAAGCTTTGGAAGTAAAGTGATTCAGAAAGCAGGTTTCTTCTGGAAACAAGTTTTACAAACAGGTTCTGGAGACAGGCAGTTCTGAAAGCATGTGGGTTCCAGAGGCAGGTGCAAGGAGGCGGCGGGTTGTGGACGGAGGTTCTGGAAGGAGGCGGGTTCTGGACGGAGGCTCTGGAAGGAGGCAGGTTGTGGACGGAGGCTCTGGAAGGAGGCGGGTTGTGGACCGAGGCTCTGGAAGGAGGCGGGTTGTGGAAGCTGGTTCTGGAAGGAGGCGGGTTCTGGAAGCTGGCTCTGGAAGGAGGCGGGTTATGGAAGCTGGTTCTGGAAGCTGGTTCTGGAAGCGGGACGACTCCGACAGACGCGCCTCGCTCGGGCTGGGGCCGGGCCCGGCGCCCCCGCTCGGCGGGCAGAGAAGAAAGCCGGCATTGTCGGAGCACTCACACTGGCGTTTGTCCCTAACAAAACCGTTGTAAAAACCCCATTGTGAACATTTTTGGAGCCAGCCTCTGAGGGGGTCCCGTTGCCGGGGTGACGGGACGGAACCGCGCGAGCGGGCGGGCGCCCGGAGTCCCCGCCGAGGGCGCCGAAGAGCCAGGCCCGCCTGACTGTCCGCTCGGGAAGTTCCGTGTACTTTCGCTCCGTTTCCCGAACTCGTCCGCACGCGCCTCGGCGCAAGCGCAGTGCAATCGGCCGACGGGCGCCGGCATTCCGGCCGCGGTTGCCAGGGGTTACCGGATTCCCGGACCCCGCGGGCGGGCGGGGCTGGTCGGCCAGAGCCCGCCTTCCTGGAGCTCTGGTTGGCTGACCTGGCTGTCCGTCGAAGCGGCCTTGCCGCCTATTGGGCAACGGCCAGTTTGGCACGCCGGCCCCACACCCCGCCCAGCCGCGCCGGGCCGCCCCCCCCCCCCGGGAGGGACAGTCGGGGACCCGCGCGACACGGAGGAGCTCGCGTCCGGGGTAGTGCAGGCGGCCCTGGGGACCCCCTGCGCGGCGGGCGCGGAGATGATCCTGGAGGAGAGGCCCGACGGCGCGGGCACCGGCGAGAAGAGTGCGCGGCTGCAGGTGCGCAGGGCGGGCGCGGCGGCGGGAGGAGGGGCCTGGACGCAGGCGGGGAAACTGAGGCCAGAGCCTGCGTCCTTCCCCCTCTGGGCTTGGCGGAGGCGCTTCCAGGCCACTCAAGCGAGCCCAGGAATGAGGGGAGGCCAGGTCTGGATCATCCTCACCGCTGAAGCGGATGACGGGGCTCCCTCCGCTTGGCCCCCTCTGGGCAGGTGTGGGGCTGGGCAGGTGTGGGGCCGGGCTCTGTGACCGCCCCCTCCACACCCTCCTCCCTGTTCTTTTCCAGGCCTGTACAGCCTCTTTCTCTAGCTCGGTCCTCCCTTTGCACCCGCTCCGGAACTGCGTGCCCGTTGGGTGCACTTGTAGCAGTTGGCCGGGAAGCCTCCTGGGTATGGGATATGGAGAGAGATCGTCCCGCCTGGTCTCCCTCAATTCCCAAACCTACGCCCCTTCTGAGGTCCCTAACCTGGGGGCTGACTGGGCAAGTGGGAGGGGCAGGCAGGGCTGTGGAGACCTGTTGCGTCTGTGCCCGGGAAAGAGGGCATGTCCGTGGGCCTTGTTCTGCAGCCCAGAGCCTGCCTGTTCCCTGTGGACCAGCTCGAGGCTGCCCCAGTGCTCCTGCCAGGCGCTGAGTGCCCGTGCCCCCCACGGGCTTTTAGTCAAGGGTTGCCCCTGCTGCTTGCTCCAGGCGAGCCTTGGATCGCACCCAGCTCTGCTCCACTCTGGGACGTCAGACTGCATTGTCCCTGGGCTGGCTCTACTCAGCTTTGGTGTCTGGGCTCGGGTCTCCTGGGGGAGGAGGCAGTGCCATCGCAGGTCACTGAGCCGGTGATGCTGACCAGAGCCCTCAAGGGTTCCCTTACTGCCCACCGCCAGGTTGCAGCACCTCCTGGCCACTGGAGAGAGAGGCAGCCTGTGCCTGCCGTTGGTGAGCTTACTCTGGCAGGGTGGCCGTGCCTGCAGGTGGCCTGGGATGGCACATGTTGTTTTGAGTGGAATGTTTGGGAAGCTGCACAAACAAGATGTCCCAGAGGGCTCGGGAGGTGACGCTTTTCAGGCTGTGGGCTGTGGCCGGGCTCCTTGCCTGGCCCTCCCTTGCCCGGGGAGAAGCTGTCTCCAACCACCTCCCGGCTGCGGCGTCTCTTCCACCATCCAGAAATAACTGCGCCGCCATCAGGGGACTGGGGAGGGCACCTGTGGGAGGTGGCGTGGGGCGGAGGCAGGCCCTGTGTCACACACGTACCACTCAGGCTGTCCTGCCATCTGGAAAGTCTTCCCTGATGCCTGTGGCCAGGCTGGGGTGAGGCCTGTTCCACCCCCATCAGGCTGGCCCCCAAACTGGCCCTGATGCTCAGAGTTCAGTGGGTCAGGGGTTGGTCATTTGTCCACTTATAGGCCATGCCTGGGCCTGAGGCCCTGTGGACAGGTCTGGGTGATTTGGATTGCCCCCGGCATGATGAAAGCAGGTGTCCAGGGAGCGCTCGCCTGGTCCCAGGGCTCCAGCGCTGCAGCTAGAGTCCTGCCATGGCTGCTTCCCAGGCCCTGGGCCTCAGCACGTCTGAGGAACAGCGTGAATAGGTGGTCAGGGCTGCCAAGCTGGGAATGGGAGAAGCCTGTCATGGCCCAGGGTGGCCAGTGCAGCTGCTGTCCCTCCCGCAGGGGCCACAGGGGCTCCCAGGAGAGGACCACAGGCATGGGGGTTTTGGGGATGGCGTAGGTTCTAGCGGATGGCATGGGGGTTTGAAGATGGTGTGGATTCTAGGGGACAGCGCAGGGGTTTGAGGGATGGCATGGGTTCTAGGGGATGGCACAGGGGTTTGAGGGATGGCGTGGGTTCTAGAGGACAGTGCAGGGGTTTGAGGGATGGCGTGGGTTCTAGGGGACGGCGCAGGGGT